AAAAATTGAATTTTTATTTATGACGTTATTACTTTTTATACTCGTTTAAACGTACTCGCTTATCTTGATTGATTGTCTCCCACCTGTGAGTATGTTATAGCTAAATCAATTCTCTTTCGGACGTGTCTTTTTATTTTTCATTTTGATCACGTCATCATGGTCAAAAAGAATGACTTTTTGGAGCCCTTTTATCTCTCATTCTTAAAAGATGTACACAAATAGAACAGAGTGAGGGCGGCAGACTGTATTTCGACGCTATCAGACTAATATATATAGGTTATGTGAAGGGAAAGTTTGTGTGGCATTACCAACTAACAGGCAGTTTTAAATACACTTGACAATGTTTAATTTCGTGTGCTATTACTTTACACGCACACATGGTGACGTGCGTGTCTGTTAAATTTGAAAATTCTCCATATTACTATTCAGATAGTTTAAAGAACATTTCTGGTCATTTTCAGCATTTCAAAACTTTCCATAATTTACCCGCCGTACGTTCATTTCTACGCACACAGCACATATTAAAGCTGGAAATCACGTTTTGTTACATACTTTCTGTTCCTGACACATTATTCATATCAGGAGTCACTCTTTGTGCTATTACCGTGCTCACGGGCGTCAAGACGTACATGTACACATGCGGAAATCTTTTAAAATGCTCAAATTATTCTTTTAAAAAAAAACTAATTACAGCATATTTTAGCATATTATGACACTTTTCAATCAGCACCGCGTGATCTTAATGAGGGTCAAAGTGCGGCGGATCACCTAACTCGTCCTCAGTGACGAGTTCAAATCTAGTTATTTCTTATATTTAATATTAGTATTTACAATAACAATAATAAGGTTATAAAAACTACAGTATATCATTAAAAAGGTTATGACACCAGGTTAGTTATCTGGAGGTCATTGGTTCAATTCCTACACGAATCACTTGTAAGTTTTTTCTCAAGTATTTCGAACGTACTGAGCATTCAGTACGTTAACACGTCAGGTAGGGCAAAACCGTCACTGCTATGTACCATTAATGTTATTAAAACAATCATTATTGTAATAATGATAATTTTGATACTAAATATATAAAATTTATAGTTTTTTACACTAGGATCTGGAGATAATTACAATTATACATAATGTGTAACTTCTTATGGTCTCTGGGGAGTATCCCTAGCCATGCATGAGCATCCAGAAAATACTAAATGCATTAAACAGAACATGCACAAAGCATACTCCTGAGCTGAGAAAGACAAATGCTGCAAAAAGAGTGCCTTACACAAAGGCATATGTAAATGGATGGACAGAGTGGATTTAACTGCCTCCCCCTAGGGAGGAAGGAGAAGTAAACATACCCTTTAAGAGTAAATGATGTGTATTGTTAATTTTTTTTAATCATCATCATCACCTATAACATTATTAGTATTATTATTCATCATCACATTAATTATTCATCATGAAGATCACATTAATCATTATCATCATATTTCCATCAATATCATATTCACTATTAACATTGTCATCATCGTCAATACCATTTTCTTTTATAGCCTAAATGAGGCAGAGTACTGAACTATGAACTCGATTGACTGACCTGCCTTTATTCTTGACGAAGCCGAGGTCAGCCAGCTCTACATTACAGAGGGCGCAGTTGAAGCACTGAGCGTGCCAATTGTTGTTCATAGCTTTGATGACACGCCCAATCACAAACTCACCTACGGAAATCAATGCAAGCGATTACAATCAGTAAATTGTAACATTAATGTGTACCTTCAACAGTGTTATAGTTTTAAATTTTTATACACAATTCATAACATTCGATACTTACTGCATTTACCACAGCAGGGTGCAAAGAGCATCTGAAAGTCATGTTCGCAGTACTTGCGCCCATCAAACTGAAAAGAAGGTAAAATGCCATTAAATATTCTGTACAACAAATATACAGCTATAAAAACACGTAGAAATGTTATCAAAATTCACACAGACAGTGATGAAAACTAAATACAATCACTACTAACAAGTTAATTGACAATTCATTTAAATAATGGGTCATACATATACAGCAAACAAATAAGAAACACAATAACAAAACTAAAAAGATTGCAAAATAAAAAGTCCAACCCTTTCAACACATGTGTTAAATGGCAAGGACAATATTTTTGTTCTAATTTTCACTTGGAAGCTTTTAACTTTTTTATTTAACTTTTATTTTATTTCCATACTGATTGGATCAAACACAAACAATAAAGAAAAAAAGAAAAAGAAAATCCTTGCCAAGCCATTATGGCCCATAGGGCTGGAGCTTATCCTCAGTTGCTTAAACAGAGAGATGCATAATGATGAAATAACAAAGTGAGTTATAACAGCAAAATGCCCAGACAAGAGTAAATTAAAAGATCACCTTTAAAATTAAAAAAAGACTTAAAATATACAGAAATTCAAACCATGGGAGTATATTTTCCAACTTGTCTATTAACTCAACCAATTCAACAGAGACAGTAGTCCTTTAACAACATATCAATAGGAAGCAATATGACATAAGCTGAATACTGCAACAGTCATTTTGTTTAGTGAGGCATAGAAAGAAATAATATGTTAAAAACCACTCAAGTGAAACAACTGTAATAAACCATCTATGTTATCATATGGATCTACTTGGATCAATGGGCAGAATTTTAATCAAACGGATTAGATTATAATGTTAAAAATTGAAGGGATAGATAATAAAACGAAAATTACCTCAAAGAAAACACCTTCAGGGAAAGGTGAGAAACACTGAGCACACCTGTAGAAAGCAATTAAATAAATTTAATTTTTATAAACATTTTATCCTTTCATTTTTGATGTAGTAAATTACACTAAATTTTTGAAGTCCACTGCACAATTTACTACAGGTAATTGAATTACTTGTTTACTTACACAAAACAAGCTTCGTGCCATACTTGTCCATGAGAGTTCACGATTCTCTCATCCTGCTGGAAGCCCTCTTGGCACCGAGCACAAACTGCGCTGTTCATCTTTACACGCCTGTTAAATAAATGAAGAAAGTGCATATTTTAGTTAAATACAAGATGCTTATTCTTTAAAGTTGGAGTGTGCCCTCACATACTGTAGTCAAACCGTTCAAAAGTTTAAATATATGCCGTGGCTAGAGATACGGTACCGTATTCTTTCGTTTGCTAAAGATACGGTAAATTGCATTATCCAATAAAATGCTGCCACCAGCGTGACGACATTGTTCAAGATTCGCACGCTGTGAGCCTGCTTTTACAGGTAATAATATAAACAGAAAACATCTAAGCAATGTTAATTGGGCTAGTCATTTCTTGATCTTTATGTTGTTTTTTTTGTATACAGAATTTAACACTAACAGAAAATGAAACTATAAGAAGTTTTTAAAAAGATCTCCTCCGACTTAATTTATCCTTCTCCTCACTTTTACCAACAATGGTTGGTAAGATGAAACTTCCACATATTATTTTATACCGTTTTAGATAAATTATCATGGTGTATTTAAATTCCATATTTTATATGATAAATGTTGTTTTATTTATAGAAAATATATATTAATTTTAACAATGTTACATTATTGTTTTTTTTTGTGAATTGTATTTTATGGACACAGTGTTTTGGGAGACCAAATTAGATAGTGATTTAGTTCACTTTCTGGAATCCCTCTTTCACTTTTGTTCGCCTCATCCACCCTCTTTCTTGTGCTTATCTTTTTGCTTTGTACGAGATAAACGAAATCGGAAATTAAATCTAATGCTCTCCAAATCAACTCCAAAAAGTACAAATATAATTAGAAAATGATGACGGTAATACATTGCATGTGGTTATGTACCGTAGAACTAAACAAAATAAGATCTGATAAATATATTCTTTTTCGAGGGGTGTTTCTCGTGAGAGAAAGAATAGGCAATTAGTTGGTTTATCCAAGTAAATATTCATTCACGAAGTAGACGATGAAAACAAACTATGGTATACAAATATAGGTGGATGCACTATTAAAGACGCTGGACAATTAAAAAAAACTAGGCTAATCTATTGCATTTAATAAGACAGAGGATAAACAAATCCATTAAAATTAATGAAAAAATTAAAAATTTAAAGGTTCTTTGTTAGTATTCCTCTCAATTTTACAATTCATATATTTCAACTCATTTTCCGATCAACAACATTTTGAAAAAAAAAAAAAAGAAATTAGATTGATTGGTTACGCCAATGAAAAAAAACCCCATATTAATAATATCAAGGACTTTTAAGCTGTCTAACTTGAATTAGCCTTATGTGTGGTGTTGTTAAGCTAATGAACCAGATAAGCAAATCTGCACATGCTCAGAAAAACAAAACTTTCCTTAGCCACACTGCGTATTAGCTAGGCATACAGCTAGGCCTAGCCGAGAATTACGGTACGGTAAAACATAGGCAAATAAGTGTAAGTCCTAATTTCACTTGGCATGCAAATCAATCATACTTAAACACACTTAAAAACAAACTAATCTACCAATAAAATCACCTGCTAGTATGTTCACAAATTTGATTTTAAATTGATGTGATTTTGTTTTGTAGTATTACAATGTACATCACATAGACTAGCCTAGGCCCAGGCCATGTCTAACTGCTTATAAAAATGCAGAAAAAAGACCCAAAACAAATTAGAATGAAGTTATCAACTAACTAGTGCATTAAAAAATTATTCAACCGAATGCTAAACAACTAGCTCCCTCCACCTACTGTAGTCTGTAGCTAGGCCTAGGCCCTGGCGGCACCTCTGTTAGGCCGGTGCGCCTTAGGCCTAGCTTAGGTGTTTTAGACTAGACTTTAGTATACCGAAGTGTGCCTGAATGGCGAAAGGTGAAATCTAGTGTATAGGCGAATCGAATTTAATAGTGCATCCACCTATATTTGTATACCATAGTTTGTTTTCATCGTCTACTTCGTGAATGAATATTTACTTGGATAAACCAACTAATTGCCTATTCTTTCTCTCACGAGAAACACCCCTCGAAAAAGAATATAGGGTCATTCCATGTCAAATCAACCAGAGGTCCCCAGGTGACCCCCTCAGATTTTAATGAAATTTGGTCAGAATGATGATATGTTGCTCATATGAACATATGCAAAATTTGAAAATCATACTCCATGTCGTTTTTGAGATATGGCCGTTTGAAATTTGCTGGACTTAGTCATTTTACGCACTCGCGAATCGCGAAAAGTGACATTTTGAATAATTTCGGATTTCAGAATGCCATATTTCGGCCTACGGACAAGACAAAGAGCTCAAAGTTGGCATTCTGACTTACTTTCTGCCATACCAACTTACTTTCTGCCATACCAATGTACCACTCACTGTCATAAATGCAAGCAATATAACATCCAGGTTGTCATTCATTGGCCACTATTTGAATGCTTACACCTGCATGGACACTGTTGATGGTAACAACATCACAATGCTGATCACTGGATAATCG